TCTTCTTTGTATTGGAATTCACTAGAAGCTACCTGAAGAACTGTGAAAAAAGTATGTGTGCTTAAAAAATATCAACATATAAAGAAGGAAGATAATTTGAACACTAAGTATGAAAACAAGATTGGGGAAACAAATAAGGGGGCAGGGGAGAGATGTGTTCATTTGATCTTATCACCCCAGGGCCCTGCATTCTGGTTATTCAAGCAGAAAATTTATATTTTTTGTAGGAAATTTACTCTGAAACAACTTTTAAATGTCTCAGATATGGCATGTTACCAATCTTTTACTTTTATTAAAAGATTTAACTCTGGGTTATTTTAAATTCAGGTATTTTCAGATATTCACATTACACCACTTTGCTTTTATGAGACCTACAGTAGTACCTGTTTTTGCTAACTGAAATATATCCAAAGAAGATTTTTGCTTTGATAAAAGACAAAAATTTAAAAAGCATTCAGCTTTTATTTTGCAGTGAGTCATTATAGACTCTGATCCAAATGCATGCTACTTACCACTGTATGTCCCCATCTTACTTCTCCATCTTCTGCTAAGTCAAATTCTTAGACATTCTTGTGATGAAACAAATCCAAGACACCAAATCACCCTGTTTCTACTCACGTTTCTGTTTTTCCATATCAAGCATGCAACCAGTTTTTGCTTAATTACTTTTTGCTTGGTCTATTTCCATATATTTGCATCATTATACTTTTACTAGAGGCCCAGTGCATGAATTCATGCACGGGTGGGTCCCCTCTGGGTGGCCTGTGGGGAATCAGGCCTAAACTGGCAGTCTAACACTGCCTGCAGCTCCTACCTGCTGCTCCCGCTCATCCTGGCCTCACTGCACCTGCCACAGGCTCGCGCCCAGTTAGTCCCGCTCAAGAGAGGCTTGAGCTGCTGCAGCAATGCTCACCAGCCATGAGCCCTGCGTCTGGCGCCCTCCTGAGGGTAGTGGCCTTCGGGATTGGGCTGAAATTGGCTCTCCGACACCCCCCGAGGGGTCCTGGATTGTGAGAGGGCACAGGCCAGGCGGAGGGACCCCACCAGTGCACGATTGGGCTGGGGAGGTACTATGGGAGGGCTCCAGGGCATGTCCGGCCCATCTCGCTCAGTGCCGATCAGCCAGACCCCAGCAGCAAGCTAACCTACCGGTCAGAGTGTCTGCCCCCTGGTGGTCAGTGCACATCACAGCATGCAGTTGAGCGGCCTTAGCATATCATTAGCTTTGATTGGTTGAACAGTCGACCGGTCACCGGATGACCGGACACTTAGCATATTAGGCTTTTACTATATAGGATATTTTTTCCCGTGTTCTCAACTAGTTTATATTCTGTGAGGTGAGGGTTTTCATCTTCTATTGAAACTTTATTTCAAGAAAGCACCAGTGATTAGGCCTTTGCAATCTCAGTTCTTCTAACCACCGAATAATTTGGAGCACATCTGAGTATACTCTCTAAAAGTTATTCGAGGTTTAAGCCTCTTCTCATCTCTGTATGTTAATATCTATCTAAAACCAAGTGACCATAACGATTGGAATGACCGGAATGACCGGAATGACGGGTTGCTATGATGCATACTGCGGCCTGCCAACTGGCCCAATGGGGGCGGGGCCGGCTGGCCAACCTCCTGTGTCCCCTCCCCCCAGCCGGCGGGCTGGACCCCACCCGTGCACGAATTCATGCACCGGGCCTCTAGTAGTTTATACATTTTGATCTTTTAACTGTTAAAATGCATGGAAAATATTGGAAAGGAATAAATGTTAATAACAGTTACTACTGGAAGACTACAAAATGGGAGTTGGGAGGGGGAGGATTGGAGTTGGTGATAGTAGAGAAAGAGATAATATGGAGGTGTTTTTTTTCTTTTTGGTACTGATTTATACTTTCAGTACTTTCTAAATATTCCATAATAAACTTGTATCTCTCACATAAAAATTTGTACTAAAAATACACAAGTAAACTTGACATGGAGGCATGACAGCCAAATTTGACATGGATAAAGTGTTAAAAGTGAGTGTAAGGTTATGATTCCAGTATTCTAAATTTTTTTGAAAGGAAAGTCTCCTATTAAAAGTAGTTGGCTTAAAAAACACACCTAATTTTGCGGAATCTTTGAATTGTCCAAAGGTAAATATTGCCATAATTACTTCCCCCAAAGAAATGCTTTACTCCATGCAAAACCCCTAGCTGTTGCCCTCCTGTCCTATGGTTTTAAATATTATCTATCTAGTGACTCCCCAGATTTTACTTTCCCCTTAAGTCTACATTCATACATCCAATTGCCTACTCAGTGTCTATGTTGGGGTAATTAATAAGAATTTCAAAAATCAGCATATCAAAGATACCCTCAAATTTGCTCCTTCACTGGTTTTCTGAAATCTTAGCTGCTGGCATCACCATTCTTGCTCAGGTCAAAAATTGGTGTCTGATTTCTTCTTCACATCGAATCCATCACCAAATCCTTTTAGCTTTACCACCAAAAGACATCATGAATCTGACTTCTCCCTATGACTACCACCCCAGTCCAAGCTCCCACCTTCTCTTACCTATTTAAAAAGTTTCGCTTCAATAAACATGACATTCTGAAGTAAAAGTAGCCATGAGAATTGTGCTACCGTCACTGGTTTCATAATCTGGAGCAAGGTTCAAGAGCAGCTGCCCCACAGCCCATTTCCAGGAAGGTATCCTTATGGAAGGTGAACTGAGATTGTGGGCACAGTGGCCCCTTTGCCTTCACTCGATCAGAGCAAGAAATGTGCAGTAACTTTCCAAGTACCTGAGTGTGTGTGCGTGACTTATTGGGTAGTGAAGGCTGGTAAGGCTGTCAGAATGAGTGTGTGGCTCTTTTAATGTTAAAATAAAGATGTGTATAGAAAACAAAAGCTATCTCCCTTATTTTGCCCCACTATAGCTTGTTCTCCATGTACCAAAGGAATAAAAAGCAGAACATGTCACTCTCCTACTTACAATCCTCCAATGGCTTACCAACATATTCAGAATAAAATAAAAATTCCTTACTATGGATTCATAGCCCTCATTGGTTAGGCCCTTGACAATCTCTACGTTAGCACCTACTACTCTCCTTCCAGCCCCCTGCCACCCCCTCACTGGACTCCAGACTTGGTAGCATTTTCTTTCTCAATATATAAGCTCATTCTTGACTTGAGATTTTGTTTCTTTCATCAAAATGCTCTTTTCTTTGGTCATTCTCCTCTCACCACTCAAGGTCACCATTCCCCAGTGACCCTATAACTTTGTCTTATAGCCCAATGTAGACCCATCACCTAAAATGGTGACTGGCACTGAGTATTTGTTGAATGAATGGCTGAAGAGTCTAAATGTTCAATCAAGCTTCCGGGCACCAAAACAGTTGTTCCAACTGAACCGTACTTTCCAATGGCAAGCACCAACCAACCACTTCCCACAAAAATCCCATCCCAAACCTCTTGTACACCATACTATTTAGAAAGTCTGTTCTGTATTAGCAGTTGCAAAAAAAATATGAAACAAAACCCGAGCCTCATTGGTACTGTAGTTTTTGTGCATACAACCAAGCAGTCTTGTCCTCTTTGGGAACTCTTCTCACCTTTAAGTCAGCCTTTTGTGTGCATCTTTATCTAATTTCATATAGTAAAACTGTGTTGGTGTGCAGAAGAAGTGAACGAACTGGTGTAATTTTCCCTGTGTTAACACACTCCCACAGATGGATAGAGTCCTGACTCACTCATAGCCTCTTTCCCTTCACCTAAAAGCAATTTTACAGCTATCAAAATAAGTGATTTAAGACCAATCTCAATAAAACTTACCAAATGACTGTTTAGTGCCAGGGAGCAAAGGAAGCTTGGGATAAAAATGAACAGTTCGCCCTATCCGGTTTGGCTCAGTGGATAGAGCATCGGCCTGGGACTGAAAGGTCCTGGGTTCAATTCTGGTCAAGGGCACATGCCTGGGTTGCTGGGGAGGTCCCCAGTAGGAGGTGTGCAGGAGGCAGCTGATCAATGATTCTGATCATTGATGTTTCAATCTCTCCCCCTCTCTGAAATCAATAAAAATATATTTTAAAAAATTAATAGCAACCAGGTTAAAATGTCAAATAAAAAGCTTCATAAGCTTTGAATTTTGTCAAAATGAAGCTCAGAAGTATCAATTTTTATGATTCAAGCCATTATAAATCCTATATAAACCTTTTAATAGACCTTAAGAGAACACATCAGTTATGGGGTATAATTACTTGGGCTAAATTTTTGTCTAAGAAATATCAATTTAATTATGACTGTTAATAACTATATTTAAACCAAGCTATTTCTTTTTCATTTTTTTTACTGTGTTTAACCAGAAAAGAAAATACTAATAAAAGCATTATCTTTGTACGGTGATTGTATGACAAAAAAGACTAAGAGTAGCAAGACTAAACTGTAGGTGTAGATAATCAAATTTGAATGATACAAGAAATACACACACACACACACACACTAACACTAGAGGCCTGGTGTACAAATTCGTGCATGGGTGGGGTCTGGCCGGCTTGCCCCAATTGAGGCTGATTGGGGCTGGCCTGGCTGTGGGGCGGGGGGGGG